GTCGCTATGTAGACTCCTCCTCGTTCTGGCCACCATACTTACTATGTAGTCATCAAAATGCCTTGATCCGATTTACTTGCCCTTTTTGGATACAACCTTCCACTCTATCAAAGTCTTACTGAAGTAGATAAATCTGCCTACACTATACTAAATATAGCTGTGAATTTGATTTTAAAATCTTATGAGTTATAGTAATTTATGTTATTTTATTAACTTTCAGATCTTTGCATTCCATATAACAGACAGTTTACATTGCTGTTTATGTAACACAAACACTTAGAGTACACCAGCGTAGAGCAACAATGAGTCCATGCACAGTTTTCTTGTTTAGCGCTCGTCTTACAGCTGCGTACGATATTGTGGGCAGCACCTACACTGTGATAGTAGAAACGTCTTTTAAGGCATTGCGGCATTATCCATTAAACAAAAAAAAAATATTAAACTTTTAATTAGCGAATAAATATTCGCTTGTAAGTTTTCACTTAATTGGTTTTTATACTGCAGGTATCGCGTGGAGGTAGAATTAATTTTGTTACTGAATATTGAATAAATTTCTCTTTGAAATACTTCGGTGAAACTTTTTTCCAATTGCCCTCATTAGCTTCTTTTCAATGGTTTCATTGAATCTGTTTTATTTTATCAAAGTGAAGTAAGAAAAATAGGAAAGTTGTGTCAGTCGACTAAAAAATCATAAAATATATTTCATAGGATAGTGTTATTCTTAATTGAATTAAATTTATTGGTAATTGAGAGAGAGAATATACAAAGATATTTCGAAATACGTTGTATAATATGTATGTTGGTAAAATGTTACGTTAATTCTATACTTTTGTTTCATGTGATTGTGTATCATATCATGTATATTTAAAAATATTATCCACATTTGCAGACACGTGACAGTAATAGTTTCGTAATGTGCTTTTGAACCTTAAAAATGTCGCATGTGTACTAACTTCATTGTTGCGTCGCACTTTTGTTAAGTGTAAAGCAGACGACCACTTTTTGTCGGCCACCGATTTATATCCGACAACGGTCAACTTTAAAAGTCGGTGAAAAATCGGTCGATAAATTTTATTGCCGACGTTCGGTGACCGATTTTTCGCCGACTCAACACATACTTCAGTCAATCACGGCCAGTTTAACGGCAGAACTCTAGCGAGTGAACTGCAAAACTGCGGCGCAAATCGTGCACGAGTGCACGTGCACTTAGAAATAATCCTTTAATAAGGTGTTAAATAATTTTTTTTACTATAATACAGGAATATTTTTTATTTATTTTATTAATTTACAGGTTGCATAGTCACGGGTGACTGAGTTGGTAAAGTCCAACCAGTTAAAAAGATGGTAAAGGTCAACCAGTTATGTCTAATATTAATGCAAACCACCCTATTTTCACTATAAGAAACATACCAAGTTACGCTACATATGTTTTACAAATTATTTTATTTTAACAATACAAATTATTTATTAATTAAATTTTATTATTAAATATTAATGTAATTAAAATAAATTAAAACATATTAATTAGTACTGCAGTCTTATGTCTGCTTGGAACTTTTCACCAGAGGAAATCCAGTATTCCAAACTGGTGGTACGGAGAAACCTTCTTTCCTGTTGAAATTAGGATGTTTTTTAATTTCTATGGCCTCTCGCAGCATCCTGGGTAGACAACGAACTTCTTTTGCAAGGACCTGGGTTTGTCGAACTTAATTGAGTGAGCAGGTTTATCCATGCCATGCTCGCAGACTGCAGACACGTTGGTTTGTTTGAAAAAACAAATATATGCGATTTAGACTCGTAAAAATAGTTTTAGTGTAACAACCGCGAAAACCTAAGAACTCAATTAGTAAATAATTTTAAATAAACATTCCATCCCGTTGCTACGACTCCCCTCTTTTTGTAACAGCTGGCCAATCCTTTAATAAGGAGTCCAAACCATCATATATTATTATGTAATAAAAATTGATCATGATTATTTATGTGTCTTGCGTGTAGTTTGTGAGCGAAAAAAAATAATTTCCACAATTTTGAGCTTTGATTGATATGGTTTTTATTACCAATACCAAAGCATGGCTATAACATTTTTGATAATGAAAATCATTACATATATTTTTATGTTATGGCATTGGCGCTTATTACTAAATACATGAAAATTACCCATATTTTTTTCTGCGATGCTTATTCCAAGTGGGCACTGAACGTAATATTTTCTTGGACGCTTTTTCTCCAGGTTTCTTTATTGAAGATACTGTTGTGAAAGTTCCACTATCGATGCAGGTGTTTTCAGGACTTCCACGATCAAGTCGCGACATTAATTTCCATATCCATAACGCATATACACATATACTCGTATATTCAGCATTTAAAAGTCGTTCGCTTTCCAGTAATGTCGGGTGTCTGCTTTAGTGCCATTTCACCATTCGTTTTATCCTTTTCGTCGGATATATATCGGATTGCGTGGCGAGTATCGATTAGTAGTAGGCCGGTTTTTATAGTACCAAGTATTTTTAAATTTTTGTACACCCGCCACAGGCAAAGCTATAAAAAGTCCCTTTTTAAATTACTAATATGAACGTATATGACGTAAGGTATAATTTCCGAGAAATTAATTTTGATATATTACACATATTGTTTCCTGTTTTACGTTATATTATCACCGACTTTGGTTTGGCCTAAAAAAGCAGTCGTCTGCGCCATACCTTACAGGGTTATAATATCCGGTAAAAGAATCGTAACTGATCAAAGACAAAGCGTAAAAAGTTTCCAGTGCCCTCCCTCATTCTGTTTTATTCGCAAAAGTTTCATCAAGGAAAAGTTGACGAATGCCTGCCGCTTTATTGTCCAATTCATTTGTCTGAGAGCGGACGCAAACCGCCACTGTAAATAATGGAAATGCTGGAGCGTCCGACGCCTTGTGTTCCGGTACCAGATTACCTATTGTGCACTAAGTTTGTCTTACCCGGTCTGTTCTCAGAATGCGAAGAACAAACTTTACTGTTCCAATAATGGATACTGTTGAATTAATGATACCTCTCTCAACACTACTATGAATTCTATAAACCCTCTAAATAACTTCATTGTACGTGGGTAGTAAAGGGTAACTACTACCTTTGTCGTTATACCCGAAAGGCATTACGTATTATATACGAAAGGAGATCTGAAGTCAGGATTTAGCAATTTATTTTTTAATGACGAGACGAACAATTTCTGGTGGTAAATGACACACCTACCAATTACAGTTGCGTTGCTGCTCAGAGCTTTAAGTCGCAAAGACCTACGGGGCGTTACCACTGCACCTGGGTCCCATTTAAAAAAAAAACAAAAAACCACTGGTTATTGTAATTTCAGTGAGACGCTACTGAGACTATATTGCAAATATGACAATATTTGTTATTCTACTAAAATCTAGTTGCAATGGCAGTTGAATCTCAAGAGAGTGTCAGTGGAATGGCAGAGACGGCATCAATTCATTCAATCACTAACAATCGATGTAGCTTTAACAAAACTACCATGGATAATAATGTAAACATAATACGCATATCTTAATGTTTATCTCGTTTAAGAAGCAATTAGTCTCCAAATTAAATGTATTTTTTTTTGTGTCAAATAATTAGTAAACTACGTCATAGATGCGCCATCGACTCGCAATTGAAGAGCAGAAAACCAAAAAATTGCAATGGCTGCTGAATAGTAACTTGATTGCAAGCCATTGACAACCCACAACTCTCAACTATTAGCAGAATACCAAACGTACAAAATCTTGCCTTTGACGACACACAACTAAGACGATTTAAAATTAGTAGATTTGGAACCCTGTTACATTGAAATATAAAGTTAAAACTCCTATGTGCCTGTAGATTCACTAGCACCATTACTCTTCAAAATTGGACCGCTATTGTGCTCACATTACTGCTACGGCTTAGATAGGCACGCTTGTAGTACTAGATGAACTTTTTCACAAGAAGCTCATCAGCTCCAAAACCGTAGGGAAATAATTGGGCGTAAGTGTAAATTTTTGAGGTTGTTTCATATAGAACGTCAGTTTCTTTTAGTCTTTCAAAATTTATATATTTTAAGCTATGTAAACTTACGAAATATTAATCTCTGTCAAACAAGTTGTAAACTTGGAACAAAACATTTTGTCATTCATTTATTAAATCACTTTATCTTAATTTTGTTTTTATGGCTCAGAGGCAGAAAATTTTCGCCGAAAGAAGGTGCCTTCGTGCCCCTTTGTAGACAGTTATCTGTTTCAAATCAGATAATTTTAAATTGGGTCAGTCTCAATCAAAAAAAAGAATCAGTTTTATACAATCTATTTTTGTCATTGATAAAACTTTTTGATTTGAACTTTTGTGAACCGTTCAATTTAAAAACTAATTTTCAATAGTGATAATATATGCCTTGCGCCGTTTCCACTTAAGAATTTAAAGACCCTAAGGTATATATATGGAAAGAACGTTCTGAAAGCAAAAATATACTTTAACTGCCTCCGTGGCCGAACGGTTACCATACCGGACTGCCACGCAGAGGTCCCCACGCAGAGGGTTCGATTCCCGGGCCGGGAGAAATATTTGTATGGCCTACATTTATTTCTCTTGTGAGTTTGGGTGTAATTTGTGGTTGTCTATGTGTGTGTCCATGGCACCCGCGACACAGGGTTTCCCTAGTGTGGGGCTATGTTGAGTGTGTGCGTTATTATTATTATTATTATTATTATACTGAGAAATATCGAATCGGCAATATGTGCGGTATATTTTAAGATCCTGGACTTCGGAGCCCCCTAAAGTGAACAATAACGATTTTGTGCAATATATATTCCTTGTTCAATAGGCGGCCCAAAGACTGTATAAAAGTAACATTTCGTTTAACTTGTTTCAGGCAATCGGTTTGGTGTGACGAGACGCGTGACATTTGCGTGACTGCGTTGATGCCGTAATGATTCTGATGACAGTCTGTTACGAATAAACTATTACTAGAGTATCATTATTGCTTAGTGACCCTTTTACAAGTCAAAGAACTGTATCTATTATTTAGAGAGGCATTTTGGTGGAATTAGTGTGAGTGTTTAAGGATTTTCATAAGGTAAGTAACATATAATAATACATATTATAAATGTAAATTAGAAATAAACTAATGTTACATAAATAGATCTGTACTATATCAGAGTATGTGAACTTAAGTATTTGTTGGCTTACTAATATTTGTGCTCTACAAACTTTACGTATCTTCTTTAGTATACTAGTGCAAACTAAAACGAATACTTGTAAAGAGTACGATGAACCCGTTCTTGGAATGATAGTATGAACTCTTTTTTAGTAATTTTATTTAGTTAGGTTGATTACTATTCAATGAGTGTGAACTAGAGACGGAGCCATGCCAACAAATTCACCATTCTCTTTTCAAGCGTCGGATATTCCATGGATATTCCTATGAATTGCGAAAACGTTGAAGTCTAAATGGAATGTTAAATAGTTGAAAAATAAAAATGTAGAAACAAAAACCAACGCCCTAGATACCAGCCTGATGCATAATAAAAGCTGATACCATGGCATTACAGCGGCAATTTATAACTGTAGGTTGAATGTAATTTTTTCTCGCAGCTTGTTGAAAATCTAAAAATATGTTTTCATCAGTGAGAACGCGTTACACGCTGGGATCGCCCAGGAAAGCAGTGCCACAAAGGTTAATGGTGCTTACGGGCACGACCTTACTTACGTAATAAGGGATTGGCGAGTTTTTATTGCAAATACACCTGATATTTCTGTCAGGTAAGGGATGTTTTCATGATATTTTTGTAATGTAACCCGCTTAATACGATACTCAAATCAGAAATTCAGTAATTGTGAATTCCTGCGCTTTTAGATTTTTTGGGATATAATTCCTCTACAGAATATTCAAATTTGTAATGTACTATGAAAGGGCTTAATTCGTATTTGTCTATAAAGGTCACGTAAAATTGTCGGACTGTGTTTAAAGTAATAATCAGACAGGTTTACGAAAGGAGCCTCCTCGCACAACGTCCTATTCCTTTACTGTATTGGTGCACCCTAGGCAAAATCGGCGAGTACCTTACGTCGATTTGCAAATAATTTTACCACAATGGCAAGCATTATAATGCATGCCATCGATACGATAATAAGAATTTGATAGTTTATTCACTTCGTAAATATTATAACATCAGGATAGAAACACACTCATGCACGATATATATTACCGTGTTTCCATTACTTTTCAACAAATATTTGGCGAATGACGTTGCTAGGAACATGATTGTTGTATTGTGCTAGTAGTTGAAAAGTTTTCACTGCATAATAGCGGAGTGAGTGCAAGTGGCGAAGGCTTTATTCAGTGTCCCGACAGGCGGAACCGGGCGCGGGTATAAATCGCACCCGCTTGAAATTACCCTCTCGCTTTATGACACAAACGAGTAAAACTTATTCACTATCTGCGTTTCATATTTCTGCAGATGTTTTTTAAAAATTCCTTTGTTAAATTATTTATTTTATTGAATATCATGATGTTTTTATTAAAATGATATTCATGTTCTTTTGTGAAAATACTCCAATAGTTTGTTATTGTTATTGATAGAAAGATCGTACAACACAAATAAAAACTCGTTCGCTCTGACCGTCCGAACCAGCATCTTTTGCCACACCGGGGCCACCGCTCTTACCAATTTGGCTGTGACGATGTGCGATCGTGTAACTGGGCACTTAAGGTATCTTCATCAGTCATTGTTACATTGTCTTAAGGTGGCTGTAACCGCGAGTCTAATCTATAAATTTCCATTCAAATTACATTTGTCTTACCTACCGCTTTTCCCGCAATCTTTACCTATACGTGATATCAGTAACATCTAATTTCCGATTAGCATATAATGGATACAGCTACTTTAATAATTATAAACGAGGAGATAATTACAACTTATAGTTATCTCCGCAGTGACATTTTCTGCCAAATGTAATAGGCACTAGGTTACTATGCGTTTTGTCTACTGTTCTACTTTACTGACGCTGTAGAAGTTTTGTATAAGAAAATATGATTTTTCAGAAGCTAAAACAAATAGTAAGACTACATATTATGATAAAATTTTGCTTCAGTGCATTGCAATGTTATTGCATTCTAAACGATTTTATTCACAAGGGAAGTTGCTTGCAGCGCGCCGTGTGACGTCAACGTCCGCTGTATTTCTTCCGTGGATAGAACAGTGTAATATTGTGACGTCATGCCTACTGAACATGCTCTCGCATAAGATGCCTTTAAAGGAAATTGAAAAAATATTTGTTGCATGTAAGAACACTACTCGGCTGCCCCAGAGCAAAACTTAGTAAGTGCTTTAGACAAAATTTTACAGGAGAGCCAAAAAAACATAAATCAAGGTGGGCAACCTTGTAAACAATTTTCCTTTTCATGTAAAAAAGTAATAGTTTAAGTAGGGTACCAATCAATGAATATATCGATATCACAAAAATTACTACAACTCATATTACATATTATCATATACTGTATATTATCATATATGTACATATACTGTAGCTGCCAGATTTAAAATACAGTATGAGCATTTGTTAGGTATTTGGTTTTATTTGACTAATTAAATTAATAAAACAACTAAGATTTTCAGTATCAGTAAAGTTATTAATTCCATTCACAAAATTAGTCTTTTGAAATTTATTTCGTGAAGCCTTCTGTAATGTGTTATGGTGGATGCTACTAATAAAATTTTGTACCTTAAGCCTATAGTTTCATAAGACTTTTTGTATACAAACTTTTGTACATGGCACCATAAAATTATAGGTCTAGAAATATTGCACATATTGTAATTGTCTCGTTTGTATCAGATATTAAAGTTTTCATTAGGCTCAATTTATGTTGCGGTGGAACGGAATGGAAGCGAATGTACATGGCATAATAAACTTTAGATAAATTGTGTAACATTCAAACTAATACGCGCCAAAATCGAGCATGCGCGAGAATTCCGCGGAAGATTTTGGCTCGTTTCTATCTAGTTTGTACGTTACACAATTGACCATAAAGTTCATTATATATGTACAATATCGTTACCATAATTAGCTTCCATTCCATTCCGCCGCAGTATAAATTGAGCCTTAAGGTTACCAGTGGATATTCTATTCTGCTATTTATTAGACGGTATACAGGTCTGATAAAATACGTTATTGCGATCCATGTCCGGTAGAAGGTTTCATTAAAACAAGTATGTCGTGTTTTTAGTCTTAAAAATAAACAGTTTCGATAAGGTGCCCAATGTTAATAAAATTACTTTTTTAATTGTTATGTACTAAACATTTTTCATGAACATCTTCAATTGTACGACACAATGTTTATTGGAGAGACTTAATCCTTAACATTGATTCCGTGGATTACTACAATAAAATAGTAGGTATTTATTTATGAATTTTTCGTTGATTCGATTCCTGGCTCATGCAAACTTTTCAACTAATCTGTGAATACTGTAATTCATATTAAGAAAAATAAATGAACGTTTCCCTTAAGTAAAATAAGCTATCTTAAGCGTTTAAGCCAGTTTCCCTTACTGTCTCATTTATTTTTTGCATTCTGTGTATTATTTTTATTGTTTTGTAAAACAGCTTGAGGTCCCTCGCCGTATCACATGTGGCTTACTAGCGTTTTGACTACTTGTGCCTTACTAAGTTTTAAGGTTTTTAAATATTTGATAAACTGTAGGATTTTGAAATGACTGTCACTGCAATTTGGCGACTCAGGGAGAAAAAATGATTTCCAAAAACATTTGTCCTTTACTACGTTGGCTCTAGGGCAGCTGTACTGTTACATGCTAAGTATGAAAGTCGATCAAAAACCAAACTTCTTTCGTACAACTGTACCTTTTTGCTTGGAGTAACTTCACTACACTCCTAGATTACGAGAACGCAATGTCGTAGGTTACGAAACTTTTTATTATGAATTTTGCCACATTAAACTGATATTGCATCTTATAAAACGGGAATGCCACACAAATCTGAATGAAATGTAAATAATGAGCCAGTGCGTTCCGTCGTAGCGGAACTATTTCAGGGCGACTCCATCACAAAACTCATTTGGCATTCAGCCACCTACAAAACCCGTGCGGATGCGAGGCAGTTTAAAATACCTGCTTTTTTCAACTGGCTGGTTTGGAGGCAGTCCCGTCCAAATTTAAGGGCCCATTTTAGTGGGTAGCACAAGTGGAAACTGCGGATGTTATATTATCAAGAAAAACGCAGTTTATGTTTTGAACTGATGAAAAATATTGGATACTTACGAAAAGCAGCCATTTTCATTTTTTCAACAAGGTAACATAACTTTATTCCCACAATTCACTGGCGCAAAGCATCGTAGATCAGGCTTTGTCATCCTAAATAAATAAGTCTTCAAAAGGGAAATACGGAGCTATAACAAGGTTCGCAACTTAGCAGTTTTTCGGCGCACAAGTCGTCAGTTTAGACGCGAAAAAATGTCTGTTGTAAATGTCTGAAGAATAATTTACTTCGTAAACAAAAAAGTTATAAATGACATTAAAATTTCCCTGTTTTTGTAAAAAGTATTTGTTTCTTGTCAAAAAGCGACGTGATAAGCCCTGACGAAGTTATTCAGTCGTGCGTAATGGGGTGGAAAAATCTTGGTGAATTTTATGAAATTGCCCAAAGATCTGTTCAAAAATATCTGGGTAATTATCGCCGAATGAAAAAGCTTAAAAATAAATGCGATCGAAGGAGTTTCACAGCATACAAGCATGAAAATCCTTGAAGTAAGTAGTGGAGAAATGTCATGTAAACTATTACATGTTTAAAGTAGGTAATAATGAACATTTTGTAACGATCAATATCTGACTGTTACTCACATTACTCAGTGACACTGTGACATTACTCTGGTTACAAAGCTAACTGAATAGTCTGCTTATCAACTTATTTTACATAATTTTGAGGGTTTCTATAATTCTCCCAACTTTACCGAAAATGCGTCTGTGTTGATTGCGCAGGAGATTCAGCGAGAATGATCAAAATAAAATAAGTTGTAGTTAAAATAAATGGTCGTGTTAAATATTTCGGTTGGCTGGGTTGGCA